TTCCTAAACATGTATTCTCTTATGGGCAACTATATGTTGCACTCTTTTATGAAATTTCAATGAAAACAACAAAAGTCTTGATAAAAAAAAAAAAGACGAAGAAAAATGAAAAGTAATGAGATGTTTGCCACATTTAGTTATATTCAATGTTATTTTGGCTAGAGTATAGAAACTGAGGATAAAAAGAGGGCAAATCAAAGTCTTCTTAATTCTTAACAAGATAACCTTAAATTCAACGATGACTTAGCACTGAGAAAAAGATAAGCAAATTTTAGGAAAATAATGAAATTACAAGAAATAGTAAAGATAAAGAACACATTGGAGGCAGTAAAAAAGTCTTGATTTTAAAATTATGCTCTTGTTGACTAGTTCTCGATTTTATACATCATTTAATTGGGCTTGTATCGATTCTGAACAAGCAATTTGCATTACACACTTGAATCGGTTTTTATGCCATGTACCCAGTTTTTTCAGTCGAATTACATTGGTTATAACAACACATGCATATCACACTTTTTGCAGCATGACCACATCCCCTACGTCGCCTTCTTCATAAATATTCCCGTCGGACTTCTCTCAGCCAGTTTGAATGAAAAATAGAGGTGAAATGAGAATCCAATAAGAAAGACTTTATGATTTATGTGCAACGTATACGTTGCTTACCTTAACATAGAAATTAATCTTTCCATTAAGCTGCCCAATATAGTCGGTTTTAACAGATTTATTAAACCACTAAAAATGATATAGAAAAATCCGAGTGAATTTCCTATTTAGTCACTGAACTTTCAGCAATGCACGCAAGAGATCACTGAACTTTACAATTCATCATCCCAGAAGTCATTGAGCAAACGGTCGTTGATAAATTGGATGAAATTTCCACGTGACAGCTGACGTGGCGAGACAACTCAATGAATTTTGAAAGTTCAGTAACCCCTTACATACATGACTGAAAGTTCAGTGACTAAATAGGCAATTCACTCCAGCTTGGCTCCCATTGTTCTCCATTAAATTATAATTCATTTTCCTTTTTTTTATTTATCAAACACACATTCTCAAATTAAATAAAATTACAGGTAAATAAAAAAATCCTTCTTCTTTAACATGTATTTTGAATAAAATGAAGCCCAAACAGGACTTGTATAAATACCCTTAATTTAGATATCCTTTTGAAAAATCATTATAAACTGATAAGTACTTGATGCTACTGTTGAATTCACAACTGATAATCAAGTTCAGGGCCGGAGCTCAGAAATTCATTCAATGCGGACCCTATTTAATTGACGTCAAACTCTGAGTTTTTGGTCATGAATTTCATGATGATAAAAGCATAAAATAATATTAAGACAATACTAACAATAACATAGTTTATAAATTAAACTTGTTCCTTGCGAGTTTCATACTTTGATATCGTTGTGCAATGACGTCAGTATCAATCTTCAAAAATATATCTTTCTCTACATAATTATGCTATTATTCATCCACTGATCATCCATCCGATTAATCAATATATTCTTTACAATGATCATTGCAGAAAATACTCTCTCCATAATAACGATAGCAACCGATAAAATTAACGCTAAAGTCAAAAGATTGTAAACCAATATATATACTTTATTTTTCTTTATCATAACTAATTTCTCTGCAAAATCACTAAGGTCATTCAACCTTTCAAACTTTTTGTTAGAACACATTTAAAAAATATAAGTTTTAAATTGATCATTAAGCGCCTGTTTGACCCCATTATTCCACATTTTAATGAGAAGAATATATATATATATATTTTTGGAAAATGTATAGTTAAAAAAGAAGGATTTTTTTTTATTTACGTGTAATCTTATTTTATTGGAGAATGTGTGTTTGATTAAAAAAAAGAGAAAAATGAATTATAATTTAATGGGGAACAATGGGGCCAAGCGGGAGTGAATTGCCTATTTAGTTACTGAACTTTCAACCATGCACACAAGAGGTCACTGAATTTTCAAAATTCATTGAATTGTCTCGCTACGTCAGTTGCCACGTGGAAATTCCGTCCAATTTATCAACGGCCGTTTGCTTAGTGACTTTTGGGATGATGAATTGTAATGTCCAGTGACTAATTGCGTTATTTTGAAAGTTTAGTGACCCCTTGCGTGCATGGCTGAAAGTTCGGTGACTAAATAGGCAATTCACTCGTTGGAACACAGATTCAATTTGTTCGTTATAGTCCAACTTGCATAAAACTGGTCAGATGATATTTTGACTGTCTCTTGTTCCTAATTTAAATTGAATATATATAAAGTTTCGAACATCTAAGATTCATAAGAATTTCGGACTGTCGATTTATTACATCAACAAAGTACTCTGATAAAATGTTTGATGATATTCTGAATAAGAGTATTGAAACTGTCATTTTCTCCACTTTCATCATTTTGAGAATTCATTATCTCTTGCCTTTCATCTAAGCTCAGATAATTTCCCCACCAATTTAAAAGTTGACCCCGTAAATCCTAATAATAGATTCAGGGTTGCAACTTTTGGATCAACACTTTTTGCTCTCTATGTTTTTCAACACAAACATAATTTCAATATGTCGAACAATTTGGTACTCTGTTAGGCCATCAAGATTCCATTCGACCATAGATTCACCATTAAAAGTCATTGGAGGTTGTGTTTTTTCTTCAAAAAGCAAATTGGGTGCAGTATTTTGAGGATAATCTGGAGGAACTTTTGAATATGAACCTTTCAATTTATTAATATGAAAATTTTCATTTTCATTTCCAATAAATTAAGACTCGATTTCATCAATAGTATTGATATTTTTTGAAGGAGAAGGAGATGATATTTTAGACAAATAAGTTACAAGTTCTTTTAAAACTTGAGTTTCATTATCTAATTTTCCAAGTTGAGGAATCGTGTTTGAAGGATGAGGTTTGAATAGAGCATTGACAGGGGTTTTCCCTTTATCAATTGATTATGAAATAGATATTTCAGAATCAGTTTTTGAAATTTCTTTCTCAGCATCAGAGTTTAATTCAATTCTATTTAACTGAGAACACATAGATTGAAGAAAAACATTAGTATAATTGTTCTTAGCTTGAATATTCTTGATATCTTTAACTACTACTTTAGAATCATTTGATCTTTTGCTAGGTATTTTTTTGAGAGGAGATGCAAGAATTTCAGTATTTCCTTGAGAAACAACAATTTCTTACATAGGAGGATGAGTAGTTTGAAAAGTATCACACTTAGGTGTTTTCCAAATCTATTTTGAAGAATTTGTATTTTGAATAACTTTAGACTTAGTGGGTTTTTTTTATTATAAACTTTGAAATATGTCCACTTATAAATACTTAAATCTTCTAGAAATGTTTCAAATTCTTCCCAGTATGTTTCAATTTCTTTTTGAGAAAAAAAATTTGAATTATTTTTCAAATACTTTTAACTTCAGGGGTTTTATCAGCAAATTTATATACGGACTTCCAAAACTCTTTGTTGAAAGGGTTAGAACTTCAATAAGAAGTCAATATCAAGAAAATATTCCATATGATGAACTTATGGAGAAATTATTTATTTNTTTCTACACACAATAGAGAAAAATAAAACACATCAATAAACTAAAACATGATCACAAGTGATATTTATAAGCATAGCATTCAATTACAGGCACCAATATTATTTCAATGCAATATTAAGGCAAAAAATATTCCACTTGAACAAAAATTTATACTTTTAGCCACTGCTTAGAACTGTTCATCTTTTTCAATTGTGTTTAAGATGAACAAAATGAAATTTCATTTGAAAAAGCATAAATCAGATTTAAAAGAAAAAACCTCAAACCAAAATGAATAATTCTAATTTATTCTTGAACACAAAAGTGAGATCTACTACTAAATGAAGATCATACCCATTTCTTGAGATAAAAAAAAAAAGAAAAAAAAAATCCTAAAATCCAGTTTTCCCTGCACTTTGTAGCTTTCAAGGATCTTATACAATAATGGCAAGAAATGCATGAACCCAACTAAAAATTTAGAATTTTAACATAAAAAACTCCTTCTGAATATCTAATATGATCCAAGAATTGAAAAATTAGAACTCTAATACTTCTATTAAGTGCCTAGTATGGCCCAGATGATAATTAAAAATGCAAAAATCATTAAAGGCGACATTTTTGCAAACACTTGAATTTCAAGCCAAGAAAA